GTAGTTTGTTATGGCACCAGAGCGCTCTGACAAGCTCGCCCACAAAACTACACATTCCAGAATTCCATAGCATTGAGCCACAGCAGTTAAGGTGGTGTCAAACGACATTATTTTTGCAATGCATATGCAGCCCAGGACACTTGGGAGACCAGGGTTTGAATCCCCACTCAGTCATGGAGACCCATTGGGGTGACCTTGGGCAAGTCACGCTCTCTCAGCCTCAGAGGAAGGCAAAGGCACCCCTACCCCAACAAATTCTGCCAAGAAACCCTTGTGATAGGGTCACCGTAAGTCAGAAATGACTTCAAGGCACCCAAGAACAACAGCAATGCTCAGTTTCTGCTGCCCTGCTATACCAGGAGCATAAATTTATGTTTGTTTCCTGATGTCTTCTTAACATAATATCACCATTCAGTTAGAATTTATCCTGTTCCTCCTGCATGAAATTAGTGAAATTATTGAAACTGCTTGCAAGGATGCAAACGGTGACCGGGAGCTTAGGAAACCATTTGAGATGAGGAGGTTGCCACTAAGCCAAAGATGCCAAGGGTAAACCAGCGGAGGCCTCTGTCTGGCTGATGCAGAAACAGTTTTGTTTTGCATTCAGCATGAATCACCTTAGCTCAATCTTTTGATGAAAAAGCACCCGTCCTCCAAGGAAACAACAGGGAGATAGCAGAGAAGTCAAAAACCCCAGTGAGCATCCATGCATGGAAACAGAATGGGAAATAATTAAATACACACCCGGTCTTCAGTTTTACAACCATCCCTCTGCATAAAAGCAGGACTATTATTGCCTTGGAAATGTAGACAATATGCTGTATGTACTAACTGGACTCAGAAGAAGGCAGCGATTAAAAGCTGAAAGCTAGATTGCCTTGGTCAATATGTTGTAGTTATTGGTGTTGTTATTGTTGCTATTGTGTACCTATCAGTCATTTCTGGCTGGTGGAGACCCTAAAGTGAATCTATTATAAAGTTTTCTTGGCACGTTTGCCATCTTCGGAGCCATTGCCATCTTCGGAGGCTGAGAGAGAGTGGCATGCCCAAGGTCACCCAGTGAGTTTTTATGCTCACGCAGGAGTTTGGACTCTTGTCTCCCAGAGTCATAGTTTTAGTTTTAAAAAAGCGGTAAAGACGGATCTCTTCCGGCAGGCCTTTCCTAACTAGTTTTTCCGGCTTAAAGTGCGAGTTCACTCCTATCCCGACCCTCTGCCATATTTATAACTGTTCGCCTGCCTGCTATTACGATTCTGTAGCTGTATTATCGCTTGTTTTTTATTGTTTTAAAAAGCTTGATGTTTAATACTATTTTAAGGGTTGGGTGGGCTTTTTTTGGGGGGGGGATTGTACATTGTGGTATTTTATTGTTGTAAGCCACCCCAATTGCTTTGGCAGAGGGGCTGGATAGAAATTATTATTATTATTATTATCCAACGCTCAAACCACTACGCCCTTTTACATATCCTCCAATGGTTCACAGATGAAAACTGGTGCACATGGAGCTAAGCAACACCACAGTTTGGTCAAGATAGCAAAAGTTATTAAAGAGGAAGAACACAAAAGCTGGGGGAGGTTGCAGCAGTTTGCTTTTGCATGTGTCTACTGGGAAGGGCAGGATTCCACTCCTCCTCTCCTTTCCTCTCCTCCCCTGCTGAACTCAATGAGTACAAACTGCTTTTGCACTTTGAACTCAGTTTGCAGCAACTAAAGTATGCTGAGGACAAAGGGAGAAAGTGGGATGGTGAGAGAAAAGTAGTTGAAACAGTGGGACAGCAGAGGATTAATAGGGACTTTCCCTGTCAAATGGGGACCATGGGGGGGGGAAGGAATTACTAAATTCTATGTAATATGTCCTTAAGTAGAGTATTACCTTTCTCACTTCTTTACTTACGGGCTAAAATGTAAAATTTGCATTCAGCATGAATCAGCTTAGCTCAATCTTCTGATGAGAAGGCTCCAGTCCTCTGTTTTGCTGTCAAAGAGCCACCATGGCATAGTGGTTTGACCATTGGACTACAATTCTGGAAGAACTACTTTTCCATTTGGAACTGAATTTGCAGCAACTGACGTAAGCTGAGCACAAAGGAAGGAAATGGGGGAGGAGAGAGAAACCGGGATGTTTGAAAAGCAGCTGAAAAAGTGGGACAGCAGAGGAGTAATTGGGACTGCCTCAGCCAAACTGGGACAGTTGAAAGGTATGACTCCTCATATATAGGCACAACTCCCTCAATAGTGAGCAACAAGTTGGAGAAGACTGGCCTTGTGCATACAAGAGTTGTTGCCATCCTTGGCACTCTTGAGTAAGGACAATGCATACAATATAAATGAACTAACCTTCAGCTGGGACTGGTTCCAAAGTTTAAACACATTCTTATTTACGCTGATACACCTCTGAGCAAGTTACACCCACAGTGTGTTGTAGGCTTTATTCTTTCTTATTACATGCAGCTTTCAGGTTTGTAATGTCAGTGTTTTACCCCTCTCTTTGCAATTTTCTAGTCATATTATAGATTACCATTGCACTTTGTTTATTTTCCCCCAATTACACTGAGTCAATACAAGATGAGGTGCCGTTTTTGTGATTACAGTTACTGGCATCACCTTTGCTCCTTTCCGTAGAATTATTCAAGGGTGGCTAGGTTTCCTCTGCCTCCATTTATTTTGTTTCACCCCATCGCCACCCCTCACCGTTGCTTTGGCTATGGTCCCAATAAATCAATGGTGGTTCTGCTAAAATAGCTGCTTGTTAATTACAGTTTTATCACCATTTGTCAGGAGCCAGGTGATGAAACAGCAACATGGTAAAAGACTGGAGTTGGAGAGATAATTTAGGTAGGATCTGGTCCAGGGCAATTGCAAGGCCAAAGTAATACAGGCGCTACCACAGCCAAGGCAAGAAAATAAATGCTTCATTGAAAATGGCAGACTTTTTAAAAAGAGCAAAGGAAACCAGAGATCTGTAGCAGAGGTGGTAAAACAGGTATTTTTTTTAAATATCAGGTATATATATGTATATATATATATATATATATATATATATATATATA